TTTATATTTATATGAATTAATACAATTTTATTTTTTAGAAACATACACCTAAAAAAAAAACTAAAACATCAGGTGTATATTTATTTGGTCTTCATCTTAAAATATTAAATGAAGCAAGAAAATCAAAATGATATTCAAATACATTAAAGCCAGTTGATCAATGTAGTAACTCTAATCTTACAAAACGGGCTATTAATGTTGGAAAATTAATGTTAACCGAATTTAATAAGAAAGTTTCAAAACTATATAATTCTAATGATATACTGATATTGGAAAATCTAAGTTATTCAGTTAAAAAGCATACCGGTATTTATGAAATCAATTATAACAACAATGATAAGGTTAAAAAAAAGCAAAAAACTGAGTTGATAGCTAAAACATTCGATGAACAAAATATTTCAAGAAATTCTTACCGAGATTTATGTACTACAGAGTCTCATTTACCATATGAAAAATGGATATATCAAGAATGCCAAGCAATAAATAAAAAAATGGTGCAGTTTATACCAATATCTAATGTAGATATAATCACTAAAAGTCAAATTGACGAAGATGAAGAAGCAGATATAGATGATGAATCTATAGTACAAGAAGTAGTTAACACAATTGGTAAAGGTGGTTATAGGTATATTAAAGATATTCTACAATATTTAATTCCAAACCTCGTTCAAAAAGAAATTTTAAAATTGCAGCAACCAATTGTTAATCTTCAAATATCTGGAGATGGACAAAATATTGGGAGACGAGTAAAACATATAATGATAACAATGGCTATTCTGGATGATAAAGATACATTACAACAACCCAATTATTATTATATTATTATACTTTACCCTGGTTCTGAAGACTATGAAACATTAATGAATATAACAGCTCCATTTCGTAATGATTTAATCAGTTTAAAAGACCAAGGATTAATAGTTGACAATATTAAATAGAGCTTTCAATTTTATTTTTCATCTGACTAGAAATTCTTAGCGATTTGCTTAGATTTTAATAGTGCAAATAGTAAGAACTTTTGTCCATAGTGTACAATTAATAAATCATAACAAGGAAATCTATTAAATGAATAGAAAATCTGTAAAAAAATAGATATATTAGTCAAACATCCTAATGCCTACAAAGGATATTCAAAAATGCTACTTTTTAATATGATATCTCTTTATTGTTGGATTCCTGATGAATTGCATATTATGCTTAGAATCACTGATCGATTATGGAGTCTTGTAATAGCTGAATTAATTAAATATAATTTATTTAATAATATTGTACAGAAAATTATCATAGAAGGAATGAGTAGAATTCATGTTAGTTTTTAGTTTTGGCAAAATCGATGATCTAAGGATTGGAATTATACTTCATTAATAGAGGACGATAAAGCTTAAAGTGTTGCGATTTTTTAATTTATCAACAATTCTCTCAAAAAATCGTATTAGTATTATAAGAAAATTATGAAACAAATTTTATAAACTTTATAGAATAATAAAGAATCCTGAAACAAAAGATGAAGATTTTTAGTATTATGCAAAAAAGTGGCTTGTCTTATTTTTATTACCATCTGAAGAAATTCCAAATACTCAAGAATTTAAAAAGGTTTATATCGACCTGATGACATGACGCCATATATTCATGTATTGATTTATCATATTTTTGAATTTATGACAATTCATCGAGAATGGGGGTTAGCAGCATTTTCATGTAGTGGAGTCAAAAAGAAAAATCATCAACAAATAGCATATTTTCTTAATAAAACGATACATAGTGATAATGCAATTATGGA